GTGGGTCGTTACAGGACTTCCAGCAGAACGTAGAAGCTTTCTCCGTGCGCTGCAGGCTCTGCTGACAGACTATTGGCAGTTTTTGCTTCGTGTTTTCCCCTGCAGCATTCTTCTGTAGGATTGCTGGGGACAGGCTGGGCCACCTGAGACTCTTTTGCAATGGAGGTGATGATCACATGGAGGTTTAACAGGAACACTTGGGGTGAGGGTGGGAGGAAAAGCTGGTTTTCTGAGGACAGCCTGGGGACAGTATTGGCAGTGGCACTCCAGAAGCAGCCTAGAAAGGAGAGCTCCCGGGCAGAAAGGCTCACAGTGTCCCCCACTGCGGAGCCCTGATGTGAAAGTCTGGAGATCTGGCTTCTCAGCCTGGTTCAAGTTCTGGTTCAAATCCATGACCTTGAACAAATTTTCTAATGTCTCTGAGCCTTATTTGCTTCTAAAAATGTGAGGAAAATTTCCAAGAGCCTTTCTCTAGTCCTAATCATCTATGACGGTAGGATCCTGAGATAGACCAGGGATTCTAAAAGTATGGTCCAAGACTCAATGAAGAATTAAAATCCCCAGGCCCTGCCTCGGATTTTATAAATCAGAAGCTCTGGGCCTGACGCACGTCCCTCTGCATTTTTTTCCCCAAATGCTCCAGATGATTGTTGTGTACAATAAATGTAAGAAAAGCTATAATAGAGTGCACCCATGAAAGCAAAGATTTCCAAGAAGGGTCTGAAAGTCAGACTCCTTGCCATACACACCAGAGTGGGTTGACTGCTTCTAAGAAGATTGCTTAGAAGAGAAATTGCTGCCTCCTCTGCAGGCCCCGTTAGCCTCCACTGACACAGCGTCCATCCCAGACGTGTGCCCGCAAACGGGAACTGGAGATCGTGTTAGAATTGAAACAGCAGTCACAGGCTCAGGTGGTTCTTGCCCAGAAACTTCTGAAGATGGGTTTCCAGAACATTTTCATTTATGCTGCATTAGAAGTATAAACTTTTCTGCTGTTTGGGTTGTCAGATCAAATACAGGGCATCCTGGGTTCTTTTTTTTTTTGTTTTTTGGTTTTATTTTTTTGGTGGGGGAGTTTGCTGAATCTGGCATACCTACCTACTAACCCCTGTCCCAGCCCATAGCCAAGGAAACATAAAAGAGAAAAGAATGAACGTTTTCTCCTTTTCCGCTAGTAGGGTGTTTCACATTTCTGGACAAAACAGAAAATTGACCTGAGATGAGACAAAAACGTGTACAAAATAAAATAAACCCTCTAAGGAGACTGAGTCATGAATTTAACCAGGTACAAAAAAAGAAGTGAGTTAATAGGAATAACTTTCCAGAGAAAGCCATTTTCTTTTTTGCTTTGAGACCTCCCAAAATAATAACTTCAATTTAAAAATTCTTGAAACTTTTTAACTGGCTTTGCTCCAGTTAACAACACAGTGACATCAACACTTTACAAATTCAATCCCAAGTTAATTAAGTGGGTATTAACTGTGGATATGGAAGAAGGCTCACACAGAGTATGAAAATATAGTCAGTTTTAGCAACAACCCCCAGTTCGAAAGAGTGAAAGAAGAAGAATAAAAATGAGAATTTGCATAAATAAATAAATAAGTACATGAAGATTGGAATTAAGACTGGATTAAGATAAAAGTCGGATATGTGGGACAGAGTAGCCAGCTGGAGCTCACATTTCAGAGTCTTAAAGGTTTAAGCCAAAAGATGAGTTTGATCTACACGTAGTTCTGCTGATCAAATAGGAAAGAGATTAGACTGCAGCCTAAGAAAACACAGATGGGTTCTACACAGAAGACAGTTGTCCTTCCCAGAGTCCCAGATGTCCTAGCTCCCCAACTATTCAATCCATTTATGTGAGCATCTACTGTATCACTAAAGCTGTGGTTATCCCTGTCTTGGAGAACTTCCTGATCAAACTAGGCAGAAAAGACATGTACATCTGAAATCATTAGAGATGAAACCAAGTGTAGCTATGAAACAGAAGGGGACAAATCCACGTGGGCTTTAAGTGTCAGCAAATCTGATGATGCAGGCAGAATTTGAGATTAGTCTTAATGGGTGTGAGAATGAGGGATTAAGATATCTGGAGGTGAGAAACGGGGAAATGGGAAGGTGCAGAAATGAGGGTACCACATTGGAGGAAGGGTGATAAGCAGAGGCCGGTGCTGGGGTACAAGGAGGAAGAGGAACTGCCCCTAAAGTCCCTGGTAGCTCTATGCTGCTCCCCTTGTCATCCCCATTCCTGCCTGGGACAAGCGGTTCCAGGGAGGAAGTCATAGCTCCATAGCTCCCTCTGCGTGGTAGACCAAGCCCCATTTAAATGCATGGAATCTTTGGGCTTCCCCAGGATCCCAATCCCAGAGATGGAGATGGTAAAGAAGGTTGGAATGCCATGAGACAGTTGGTCCTCTGATTTGGGGTCTGTGCACCTCTCTGAGTACTGCAGGCAAAGGATCTGCCCCCATAAACAAAATGGGGAATAGAAGTTTTCCTTTGGTGCCCAGGCGCACTCCTCTACCCTTATATCGCTTTCTGCCCTTTCAGCGGAAGCCCAGGTCACAGTCTTTCTTGCCCAATTCTCCTATCACAGGGGAAACTTTTTTGAGCTAAAGAATATTTTATTTTTACAAGATTGAGACTGAGTGAAGAAGGCAACACTTAATGCATAGCAAATGGTAGAATTTTAGGTAATAGTAGAGAAGATATTAAGCTTATGTAAAGCAGTCCATTGTCTAAGGGTATCTTAAAGATACCTGAGAGGTCTCTTGTCTAAAGCTCTCTCCGTCACTTAGATCTGCCATCAATTATGGAGAAGAGAAATGGTATCATACTATCCATTTGGGCTCCAAATTTGTTTCTTTGTGGCTACTGTCCACAGGCCAAGAGAGCAAGAAATCTTCCACATAGTAGGAGTTCATTCTAGGTAAAAGCCATTACCCAGCTTTGAAAGATCTTTTTATTTTTATTTAACAAACTTTCATGAAATGCTTCCTACATGCTATTTCATTTTTTTATTAACACTTGCCGGGAAAAAGAAAGAGAGAACAAGAGTGAACAAGTGAAAGAGCAAGGGGAAGAGAGAGAGACAAACACAAAGAAAGAGACACAGAGAGAGAGAGACCTGCCTAAACAGCAAGTCTCACAATTTGATGGGCATAAGAAGCACTGGGGAGTGTTCTGGAAATACAAACTCCTGGCCCCACCATCCAAAGATTCTGATTCAGTGCCTCTGGGGTTAAGCACTTGAATTAGTGTTTTTAAGAAGTGACCCAATGGATTCAGTTAAAGGTGGTCCCTGACCACACTGAGAATCATTGCACATGACAGTAACAGGATGTGGAGGTCAAGAATAAGAAACCTTAAGTGAAATCAAGTGGGCTGAGGCTACACATTGGTTAACCAAGAATCACAGAGGGCTCGGTGGGCCAGGCCCAGGTCTGCCAGCTGATAGCAACAGGGGACCACAGGTGTGTTTTCCCCACATTTTCAAAATAGTACACTTGGAAGCCACAAGGAAAAGCTCCATTTGCCAGGAAGGCAAAATCAAAATAGCTGCAAGGGGCATGGTTGGCAACACTGGAGTTGTCATGGCAACTAAAATCAGTGAGAGAGCTGAGCTGAGAAACCTGTGGGTAAGAAAGAGGAGGTAAAGAGCCTGTGTTAAAGAGCAGGCCGGTTGATGTACAAAGGGCTGTTATGTCTGTGTTAAACCACATTATATCCCAAATAGTTGCAAAGAAATCAAAAGGAAAGAGGATGGATTCCTTCCAAGAATGGCTTGCAGGTAATAGGTTGGTGCAAAGCTTACTCATGAAGTGTTAGTTGCCCTTTTGTGTTCTTCCAATTTGTTTCCAGTATTTCTGATATTGGAGACTCCACCAGCTGCTCCACCAATCAATCAGAAACAAACTCAAATACAAATCTCAAATGCAGGGATAATAAAGACAACTCCAAAAAACGACCACTACAGAATTTTATTTAATTAAAAACATTATACATGTTGTTGCATTTTCATGGAAAATACTGAGTTTAAAAACACCAAAAGTGTTAGTTTTCAGAAACCTTCATGCACCCTATTCTGCCACCTGCTACCTTCCTCTGTCCGTGGCATTAACCATGTGTTTATAAGGAATTGGGCCCATTGAACTCGAACTTCCTAGAAGGACATGCCTACAGGTCTGGAGTGAGCCATTGTCTTGACAACAGTCCTGTAGAGTTAACTCAGATCCCACCAGCTTCAACTTTCTTGCAAACCATTGAAAGGAGCCAGTGTAAAAGCCCAAAGCACATGTCAACACCAATTCGGTACAATTGAGTACTGCCACGACCTCGTCCAGTTTCCAAGCCAGCAAGCAAGTGACCTTGTATTCTACCTGGCATATTAGTGTCCTGAGCTCCTCCACAGAACTTCCCTGGGACACACGCTGGGAAGACACTGCCATATAGTGTTTATATTCGAATCATCAGCAAATACACAAAAGCACACATGGCCCCATACACAATACTATCAAATAAAAAAAATACATATTGGTACAATACAACTTTTGTAATCACTGGCTGAAACATAGCAGTGTGAGTTTTTTTAAAGTCTTGATGTAATTGTACATTTGTTTTTTAAAAAAAAACACAGCATAAAAATTTAACTCAAAAAGATCATTTCAGCTATAAATGTCTCACACATAAACACAGGGGGTGTACAATATAGACCTCTCTTGCACTCCCCTCCTTCCCTTTCTTTGGACTGTATTGTCCCCCAACTTAATTCTTTGACCCCCACATCATAATGCTGTGTCCCCATATTGATCCCGAGTGACGTTTTTAGTAAAAATGGATCTGACGTGACACAAACCTCTGCCTCTGTTTTCCTGCTCCTTTGCTTTAAATCGTAGTACACTTAATTTGGGTTCTGCATCCAGCTTTATATAAAAGAGAGATGAATTCCCCCCAAAATATACAAACAAATAAAAATAGCTGGATAGCAAAAAAGAAGTTAAAATTGACTCAGTTCTTAAAATTTGGAATATGGTCTTTCTTCTTCATGATGGTCTCTCAATTGATGGGAATAAAATAAGGCTGAAATTGCTTTTCACATTCTGGCTCTGTTGGGGGCATTTTCACATAGACCCCTGTTGTAAGAAGGCTTTTTTTCTTTAGCTGCCAAACACAAAAAAGAAATAGTAATTATTATTGAAGAATACAGAAGCCATTTCTAACCATAATAGGACTCAACAAATATTGGGTCCCTATCCCATTGAAAATGAATGCTCACAACATACAGAATTTTAAACCCCAAGAGATTTTCTTGATTCAGCTATTAAAATTCACTTTAGATAAATAACTGTGATTTTGATGTAAAATAGCCATCATTTGCCTTGACTGGAAGGTAGGAGAAAGAGACTTTGAGAAAGCTCCACAAAGAACCCCCAGAATGCTTATGATCATTGACCAGATCTCATGAGTGAGGAGACAAGCTTGATCAGGTAACAAACTTTAGTTCTTCCGTTTGAGAGTTGTGTTTCTCATTCCCCCTCCTCGTATGCCTTTTACTACTTTTTCTCTGTCTGAATTAGTTCCCAGTATTTATCACCTTATTGAATTGAGATCAAATCTACTGGTTAGCATGGTAGTTTGCAGCAAATGAGGTAGAAAGAACTTAACAGCAACAGAACATAGCTGTTGGGTTGAATAGAGGATCTTGGAATAGAGTGTCTTCGTGTTTGTAAGAGACAGTGGGAAAGAGAGAGAGAAGGAAAGAGAGAAAGAGATGAAGAAAGAGGAAGAGAAGGAAGAAAGGGAGGGAGGGAGGGAGAAAGGAGAGAGGGGGAAGGGTGAGTTTGTGACGGCAAAGCCAGCTGTAGGCAGAAGTGCTGAGAGAGATGTCAGAAAGAAATGCCGACAGGAGACCTGACTCCAAACCTCTACCTCTTCCGCCAAGAACAACTTTAGGAAATAAAAACAGGCTTTTATTTACTGGGCTGGAGGGAAGGCAAGACGTCCCAGTCAAGCAGACTGGATAATGGGGCAGGTGTTCTGTGAGCAGCTACAGCTTGGACAAGGAAGGAACAAGGTAGCGTCAAGAGATGACTTCCAGGTAAAGTAGAAGGACCTTTAGGAGGAGACTAGAGTCCATTCAGGCGGTCCTCTCTAGCAACATTTTGTCCAACCCAATCTTGTGATTCCGAGTTGTTCACTGCTGTACAACTGTCATGAAGATAAAGAGAGAAACAGCTGCCCCATGTTGTTCAAATTGTTACTCAAACTGAAACCCTGTTCAGAAGCACACAAACATTCAATATCAAACACCCTCATCTAAAATATTAGTCATTCTGAAACCTCGAAGCCCAATGCCTGGGTCCTAGTGTATTCTTTACCACTGTCCTTCCTCCTCTCCATCTATTGCTTCATCTCAAGAAAACAAAACTCGACACCATCACTTGGTCAGTTGATGCCATGGAAGGTATCCCCATCAAACACGGTGCCCTGTCAGCATCACACTCACCATTTTGCTCAAAGAAACAGCTGTGAGGAGAAAGCTGTAAAAAAACAACCCCGAACTAACTGCCGCAAAGATCCAGAGGAGGAAGTCGGAATCCGGGCAGGGTTCTGGGTCTGCAATAGAAAACACAGCGGATCCTCCCTGAGACAGCTTCAAACTTTAAGGCCCTACGCCCTGCACTGGTGGAAACGGGAAGAAGTTAGAGCTTCCAGACCTTGGTGCCCATACCCAAATTGTATTGGTAGCCACAGGTAAGTATAGCTACTTGGGAATACTTCCCCAGGTGTATCATACCATACCAAAGGCACAGGACCAACCAACTTCATAATGCTTATTACCCCAGAGTGAGTGCTTATCACCCTGCCAGGAGAAAAAACACCTGCCCCAACTCCTTTTATTTTATAGTCAGAATGCTGTGTAGGTTGCCATCTATAAGCAAGACTACCGTGCGGTAGAGAACGCTTAGAGAGAATTTCCACAGTCCTACAAATGATCCACCCAAAGGAAGGAACAAAACTGTTTTTATGCAAAGAAGACAGCAATGCAAAAGGTGTCAAATTAGTGAAATGGCTTTGCTCACCAATGACATAAATCTGGGTTCCATTGCCCACACCCACATAGTATGGTGGCGGGTACATGAGCTCCACCTTGCAGATGTAGAGCCCCATGTCCTTGGCCCTCAGCCCTTGGATGGTCAGGTTCACTTTGTTGCCGCTGGAGGTGCCAACACAGGTGGAATCGTCTAGGAAAGTCAACTCCTCCTCCACCATGTATGTCGCAGCACAGACTTCAGTCTCCTGGCTGTTGGCCTGCCGCAGCACTGTCACCCGGATCTCAGTGGCTTTGCCTGAAGATTCATACTCACACATGAAGTTGGCAACACCCCGGTTGCTGGCCAGTACCACTTCAGGCTGGGCCACATGCATTGCTAACAGGGAAAAGCCAAAGAAAACTCAGTGAACTTATGCTCATCTGTAGCCAGGCCTAGGCAAGACCTCTGGCCAGGGCAGGTTTACCTTTGAGGAGCTCTCTCCAGCTCTACCCTCCAGCCCTTCTCTCACCCCTTCAGGAAACCCATCACCCTCCCTTCCCCTTCTCCTTTCCACCCACCTCAGCCTCCCCTCCATCTTTTGGCTTCCTTCCAGCTACTTGTCATAAAGAAGTTTCCTTATTGGGAAATAACTCCTTCAAGACAGTTTGTTGTGGCAGGAAGAACACAGGTATGGCAAGCGGAAGACCTGGCTCTATTGTGAAGTACATGATTTTGGGCAAATCATGCCTCCCTCAGGGCCTTCATTTTTCTTACATATAGTCAGAGTGGATTAGAAGAGATGATATCAGAATGCCTTCCACCTCTGGTACTCTAAGGTTATAACAGAACTACGGAACCATAGCTCAAGAACTATAATGAGTAGTAGGGAGAATTCTGGGGGCTGAGGTACAGAATCTTGCCTTATCTCTCAAAGCATACCTCCAAAATCTCTGCCTGCGTATTTAACTGACCCTGTACCTCTGTCACCCAGGAGTCACTGAACCTTGGTGCACGGGGCCAGCCACCCGCTTCCCTGGCATTATTGCTGTAGAGTGGAAGATGCTTCAGAAGAAAGAAGCCACAGAGCTGAGGGCACCAGGTCGTTTCCTCTCTTAGGTTGAGGCAACCCTACTGTTAACTTCTGCGGGCTTCCCCTGCCACCGTCACTGCCTCTCTGCCCTCCCTCTCCCCTTCTCCTGAACACTCTCATGCTCCTTTGTTCTCTCTTCTCCTCTGGCTTTTACAGGATAAAGGAGGTCTGTGCTCCACACAAAGAGGTTAGTCCTCTAAAAAATGGTGGCTTCATGTCAAATTATCTTCCTGTAACTAACCTGGCCTCCCTCTAGTCAATCTTACAAGTGAAACCCCAAACTTGTATTGAATGATGTCACTCATCTTCTCAAACCCGTTGACAATTTACTAACACTGATTGCAAAAACAAATAAAATAAACAACATTCAATGTCCTCCATGATCCAATTCCAATCTATCACTCCAGTCTGAGTTTCCAGGACACCCCATCCTGCATATAAATTGCCCTACTAGAGACACTAGTCCCTTACTCCAAGCACTTGTACTAAGCAACATCTGTCCGCAGAAGAGAGAACAATATGGCAATAGTCATTGTCTTGGCTGTCCCAGAAGTTCTGGCTGGCTAGACCCAGTCTCCTTCCCCAACTCCTGTCTCTCCCTGTCAGAGATATCCTCTGGGCATTCTTTGCACTGTGCTAACTCCATTGAGGTACTTAATGAAGTTCTGCCCTGTATTAAAATTTTTGTGAGCTAATCATACCTCCTCTGTCTCTGCCTTTGGCTCATAAACTCCTGGAAGCAGTAGTTATATCTTGCCCAAATGAGCACTCAATAATCTTTATTCTATTGACTCTATGGAACACTAAAGGTCCTGCCCTCCCCCAGGCGAGCTCACACTTATCACCACTACATCTGGTCACACTGGATTTTCCAGCATCCATCATAGAAGGATCCTAGTTACAGGTTAATATAAATTTCCTTTAGGAAATTTGAATGCTTCTAAGGGTATTTAATCTTATATATTCAAAATATGTAAAATAAGAAAATGTATATTTCTTCTCCAGTAAAAATTAAATCATCAAATATCTTTTGAGCTCCTACTTAGTGCAAACCACACAGTTTCTTAACCAAGAAGGTCTAGAGAGAGATAAGATTGAGATTCAGTGGAAATGTTCATTACTCTAAGCCATGTAACAAACCTGGTATCAACTTCTAAAGAGCTTTATTTCATCTGAAAACTAAGGATCTGCGTCTGAAACCCACATGTAGGTCAGGCAACAGTTAAGCATCTTATGTCAAACAGATTGATGGCTTGCTTCCTTCCTTCCTTTCTTCTTCTTCTTATTTTATTTATTTTTTTGTTTTTGCAATTTCAAACCATTTCATTTTTAAAATAATTAGCTAACTAATTTATAGAATTGATTAAGAGGACATTCAAACCTTGAATTGAGTAAAGAGAGAATTCTTCCCATGATTTGCTTAAATTTTAAACAAGCTGGCAAATTAGTTTATAAAACGAATGAATTAGAGGACTTTAAAACCTTGAATTGTATAGGAAAGAAATTCTTCCCGTGATTTGCTTAAGTCAATATTTTTTTAAAAGGGAAATCTTGAGCTCCATCTGATACCCAAGCTTAAATGTATTCAGGATATCCTTCCATCTTAAATCATTTAACTTTACATTATTTTCTTCCAATCTTATAGAAGAGTCTGAAATTGCCCGTGTCTCCTAAACCAACTCACATGCTTCATTAAGCCCCTGCTAAATACCTGGCACTCTTCTGTGAGCTATATCTCTGCTTATTTGCTGCTGCCCAGGTGTCCCCTGCTTGTCTTGGAATACAGAGGCATCCAAGCCAAGAGACTGGAATTTTACCTTTAACTTCTGGCTTTGCTATAAATCAGTGCCCTTGACTGCTATAAGAAATGAAACCCAGGTGGGAGAAACACATCCTCCACCTTCATGCTCCCAAAGTCTCACTCACCTTTGGTGAAGACAGGAATGAAAAGAAGAGAAAACAAGGCCATGCAGGACCAGGTCCTGGAAGCTAGGTCCAGCTGAGCCTTGTGCCTCTGGAATCCAAGGCAAGCCATGGCCTTATGGGAACAGTGCTGAGGTCTTCAGGAAGCAGAGCGAAACCTTTCAGAATCCTGAAGCTTTGAAATATGTTTGAACCCACACAGAATCAAGGACTTTATATAGACAGCTTTGATCCCAGGTATGTACTACACATGTGCACACACAGAAGGCACCTGAATAGAAAGCCTTTTTGTTTTGGTTTTACGAGAAAGGAAGCCGTGGGTTTAGCTGTTACGTCGAAAAGACAACCTCAAACACTCAAAGTAAAACTGAACAAAACAAGCCAATCCGTGGATGGAAAATGTACTCAATTTGAAACTGAAGCTTCATATTCACTTTGAGGATCTGGATAACTAAGTGGAGACTTGGAGAATTTCCTGGAGTGCAGGGGCCCCCCTAAATCCCAATTTTATCCAATGGTCTGGGCATCTTTTGCCACCAATTCATTCAATTGACATATCCCAAACTGCCAAGTTGCCAGCTCTGTGATCCTTTAAGGGAATGAATAGAAGAATTAGTCTGTGGGAATTGTTAATGAAAACTATATTCCATCTGTGAAGCACCATCCTTCTAAGGGTCCCTTGACATGCATTACAAATAAGAGTTTATTTCTCCTAACTCCATTTAGCATTTAGTTGAGAGAAAATACCAAAATCACAAGAAATAAATGGAAAATGAGGCAGAAAAAAACTGCCTCTGGTTTTTCATATTAGGAAAGAATTTATATGTTCTTAAAAGCCTTAACTAAACAAAGACAAAATAGAGTTGGAGAAGGTCCAGAAAAAGTCAACTGAAATGATCTAAGAGATTAAAAACTTCTATAGGAAGACATTTCTTTTTCCTATTAAAAATTTTTCAAACAGAAAATCCAAAAGCTGAGCTTAAATATGACCAGAGGTCTTAAACTTTTAAAAGCTGTAGATGACACAAATCTTCATCTAATAAAAGAATGCTAAACATTGAGGACCCTCTTTAAGTCTGAGAAGTTTTCATATATTTCAATGATGAAAAAAACATTTACTGAGAACCTATAAATATGTCAGGAACTATGTGCACTTAGGATTGAATGAACAAGACAAAAACATAGTTGATGCCTTAAGGGGCTTCTGGAAGACTCATGTGCAAACAGGCAGTTGCAGTACCGGATATGGTGTTTGCCTCCTCCAGCCCTTCCATGGCTTCCCATTGTCCATGCACCTCAAAGAATACAGACCTAATGCCTCCCTTCTGGGCCTTCCTCCCATCATTCCCCCACAGGCCCCTTCCTCTGCTGGCATTTCTCCTACTTGCCTCTTTCAGGTCTCGTCACCTGTACCCATGCTGTTTCCATTGCCTTTTTGCTCCCATTATTTTATTTCATCCTCCTTCTCATCCTCCAGGACTCAACTGAACAGTCACCTCCTCCAAGGAGCCTCTTCTGACCTGCTCCTTTTCTATACTCCCCTTGCACCTTATAGAAGCCTTCAAACCCCAGCTCAAATACCAACAAGCAATGACAACCTAATGGGCACTTACTAATGGCCAGGTCCCAGACGGGGCACTAGAGATGGAAAAAAAGTGAAAAACCTATGTTCTTTCCATCAAGAACCCACAGCAGTGGCAGAGACAGACAGCTAAACCCATGATCATGACAGAGTGAGATATATGCTGGACTTGAAGTATTACACACACTGTAGAGGAGCAGAAACCATTGGTTTGGCCTGTGGATGTCAGAAAGTGCTTCTTGGATGAAGGAAAACCTGAGCTTATTACTGAGGACAGGGGCAAGGGGTGGGTACTCAGTCAAAAATAACAGCATGGACCAAGGCTGGGAAGGGCATAAAGAGAGCTCATCATGGCCAGAGGACAAGGCACGTCTGGGAATCAGCAGTAAGTGGAAGTCGATACCCTCAGCAGTGAGGGCCAATGAAGCATAAGGAGCAAATAGGCATGACCAGGTTCACATTTTAGGGAAATTCCTCTTTTCACAGGAGGAAGGCTGGGGAAGATGGGTTCAAGGAGGAATATGATGTAACCAAGAAAGCCAAGGAGACTATTGTAATGCCCCAGGTATCAGGAGTTGGAAATTTTCTGTAAAGGGCCAGATAGTAAATATATCATAATTTGCAGTCTCTGTTGCCACTACTCAACTCTGCCATTTTAGGGTAAAAGCAGCCATGGATTATGTGTAAACAAGTGGGTGTGGCTGCACTCCAATAAAACTTTACTTACAAAAACCAATGAAGTCTGGATTTGCTTTGTGGGCCATGGTTTGCCAACCTCTGCTCTAAACTAAGGTAATGACAGCTGTGAAGACAGGTAGCTATGGGACTAATCCACAGTCAGTAAGTGGAGGGAGAAGTTTAGGATGACACCAGATTTATGGTTTAAGAGGTACCATGGTACTGCAAGAATTGTTCAACTAGTTGTTAAGTCTCATTGGGTTATTATTGAAGTTTCATTGGGTTATTATTTTCCTCATTTTACAAAGAAGGAAACCAAGGCATTGAGAGTCGAGGTGACTTATCCAATCCCCCATAGTAGGTGGTAGAGCCAGGATTTGAAGCCAGTGATACTCTTAATCACTACACTAAAACAAAGTCTTTAAAGTCAAAGAGAATGGGATTTGCATTCTAGCATGAAGACTTGCTACCTGTTGACCTGGGGCTGAAAGCGCAATGTCCTCAAACAATGGCATCTATTTCTCAAAGGTATTACAAGGATTCAATGAGGTAGTACATGTAACATGTATAAAAGACCTATTTTGATGGCTGGCCACTCAACTAATAGGAGTCCTTTTTTGTTATAGGTCATGGAGAAGACAGAGGTGCAATGTACTGGAATAAATAGCATAGGAAGAGCAGGTCGGGAAGTGAAAATGCTGATTCCCATTTGGGCATGTTGAGTTCATGGTATCTGTAGATGTTCCTGTGGAAAGATCCAAAGCAGTTGCCAATAGGCATACTGGAGCACAGGGAGTGATGTGCACTAAGGATGGTTTAGGCAGCCACAAAGCCACTGATGAAACTATTTCTGTCCTAGCAAGAAAATTCAATGGTTGTGAAAACCACTGGATGAAAGAATGTTGGTGAAAAAGATACATTCACATATATCACCCCACAGATTACTTGATAATTGCAAAGGGGAAAAGATAATTGATAAATCTAGAAAATGCTATCTTAACCAAGTGACCCAACTGAGGATCACCCATAATGGAACATTCTGAAATCATGTACCTCCAGATGCAATGCACTGAGAAGGACACGACGTCTCTGTAGTATTATTGCCAAAATTATTTAAACCGAATTTAAGCGTGAAGAAATCACCAGACAAATCCATATTCTGCAAAACAACTGGCCTGGATTATTCAAAAATATTAATATCATGAAAGATTTAAGAAGGAAAAGCCTGGAAAACCATTCTAGATTAAAGGAGAATACGGAGATGTGACAATGAAATTCAATGTGTGGTTCTTGATTGAAAAAAATAAACTATAAAGAACACTATTGAGACACTTGGGAAAATTTGAGTATAGACTATATGTGATAATAGCATTGTCTTAATGTTAAATTTTCTCAGTGTGATCATTGTATTGGGGTTGTGTAGAGAAATATCCTTGTTCTTAAGTGATGCTTAAGTATTCAGGGTTTAAGTCTCAGGATGTTGGCAGGTAACTCTCAGATGGTTCAGCAAAAATAAGTGTGTATGTTTGTGTTAGTAGAAAAAGAGAAAAAGAATTAAACAATGGCAAAATGTTAACAATTGGTGGATCTAGGTGAAGAATATATGTGTGTGTTTATTATCCAAAGTGAGGCACCACAAGAACAGAAGAACAGGATCCATTTGTACTCGCCATCAAATTGGTACTAACTGATCAACATTAGGGTGATCACATGGCAGAAATACTCTCTAGGGATTAGGGGGATGGGGGGTCAAATCTACAACTAAAGGACATGGGGAGCACTAAAGGGAGGGAAGGGCATGCCTTTAACCCGCATTTGGGTGAGGCAAAGACATAAAGTGTAACTATAATGTTTGTACCCTCACAATACCCTGGAATAATAATAAAAAAATAAATAAATAAAATATAAAAAAATAAAAAATCCTTCGTAGGTCTTGAACTTTTTCAAAATGAAAAGTCAGAAGTAAAAATTATAAGGCCAACTACTATCTTAATATGGTAGGCACTAAAGTGCAGATAAGCAAAATGAAATTTAGAGCGGAAACGTGACTTGTTCAAGGTTATCCTCCATCCCCTTTCCTTAGATCCACGCTCTGAAGAGTAACTGGATTTAAATCCTGGTCTTCTCATTCTCATCCAGTACTTATTTTTTCCATATCATCTTATGTACAGTAATAACGTGTTGTATCATACAGATCTGTATTTATTATAGTCGATCGTGCGTAATTCTGAATAGCATTCTCCAAATGCTATTTCCACAACACTTGTACTCTCACCACACACACAGCACCTAACCAGGGCCTCCTTCATACCTAGTAGGTAATGGAGCATTTCTGCATTTCCATTTAGATCTCAGGCCCTTTTACTTATCTTGCATCTAATTTCCAATTCTGGGAAAAGTGCTAAGTAAGGAGACAATCAGAGGATTGATAGGTACTAATGAGCCCAGCAGAGTGGTTAAGAACATGGCTGGAGTCAGACAGACATGAGTTCAAATCCTGTCTCTGCTGCTTCCTAGACGTGTGCTCTTAGATGACATTTTTGAACTTCTCTGATCCTCAGCCTCCTGATCTATAAAATATGAGTAATTATGGTAACTATCTTAGAGGATTATTGTAATGATTCAATGAGCTTATGCCAATAAATTGTTGAACACTGTGCCTATAATATAGTATGTGCTCAGTAAATGTTAGCTTATCTATTAAGCACAGAGAAAGTTATGGATTTCAAACTTCCACTGTTACGTAAACCCTTTTTTCATCATCTTCTCTAGTAAATAGATGATATATTAGAATAAAATCAGGTACTAACTATTCTAATACTCACATATTTATTAGATTTCTGCCCCTGTGTTTCCATCAGTATCTGGAACCAAATAGTTCATTATTTTTCACCTGAGTCCCAAAATTCACAATTCTAGAGGTAATCTAAGAATTATGTATTATGAGCTCTCAGTTATTCTGTGGTCAAATATCCAAATGTCTGAGATCAGCACTTGGATATTTTCAC